AGAAACAAACCTTATGGAATCTCTATATTCTAGAGAAATTGGGACAACAAAGGTGCTAGACATCCTTGATCTTCATCCTATATCCGTGTCGGATGCATCTATGCATTCAAAATTAAAGTAGCAAATTTTTATATTTATTTTGAAATATGTAGGTTAACCCCTACAAAAAAAATCAAGTTTTTCGATAAATGTTATACACTAAAGTTTAAGCTCTTTCTTGTTAATTAAAAGTACCTTATCAAATTATAAATTTATATTATGTATGTTAAACTTTATTTCACGTTACATGGACATCGTTCCTAGTATTTTAATGGGTCATTTAATAAAAATTTATAGTCCATTTAATTTAGTGGACTAACCCCTTATAAAAACTCTATTTTCTGGAGAAACGGAGACACCAAAGGTCTCAACCTCTTTAATCTTTATATTATGTCAGTGCATGATGCAGTTATGCATTAAAACAAAAATATCATTTTTTCTATTTTATCTTGAAATATGTGGGTTAACCCCTACAAAAAAAATTAAATTTTCCGATAAATGCTATCTATAATATTTAGGTCTTTAGTGTTGTTTAAAAATACTTAACCACACTATAAATTTATATATATGTATACTAAACTTATTTTCATGGTATATGTGCATCATATCTAATTTTCCAACGAGTAATTTATTTAAACTTCATATACCACCGAATAGGAGGACTAATCCCTAGAAAAACTCTTTTCTAGAGAAATATAAACACCTAAGGTCTCAGATATCTTTAATCTCCATATTATATCAGTGCATGATGCAGCTATGGTTTAAAAAAAATTCCTTATTTTCTAATTGATCTTGAAATATGTGGTTTAACGAGTTTTTCGATAAATGTTATATATATTCCTCTTTAGTTTTGTTTAAAAATACCTATTCATATTCAAAATTTATATGCTTTACTAAACGTATGGTCATGGTACATGGGCATCAGTTCTATTTTCAACCAGGGAGTTTAATAAAATTCTCCATATACCACCAAAACCAAGGAATTAAACCCTATGAAATTTCCATTTTCTAGAGAAATTTAGACAATTAAGGTATCAAAACCCTTTGATATTCACCCTATATTAGTGCTGGATGTACCTATGCCTAAATACAAAAAAAAACTCTATATTTTTCTAATTTTTCTTAAAATATGTGGTTCCCTACGATAGATCGAGTTTTTCTGATAAATGCTATTTATACTAGTTGATCAAAAAAAATTCTATTTATACTTAAATTTAACCTCTCAAATGTTGTTTAAGATATCTGGCCACATTAAAATTTTATACGAATGTATCCATAAATTAATTTTTATGGTACATGATCATCAGTTATAAATTTCCAACGAGTAATTTAATAAAACTTCATATACCACATAAATCAAATAAAAAATCCAATGAAATCTCTATATTCTAGAGAAACTTGGACAAAAAATATGTCAGACATCCTTGATCTTCATCATATATCGGTGTTGGATGCATCTATGCATTAAAATAAAAGTATTAAATTTTCTAATTATTTTGAAATATGTGGGTTAAGCCATACAAAACTATAAACTATAAACTATAAACCAAAATAACTAATCCTATTTAAACATAAATTATTAGTGTACATACTTATTTTGAATATTAAAAATATAAAATAAATTTTATACATAATTATTAAGAATTTAAATTTAATTAGAATTGACAGTACCAAAATTATTAGTATAGAATTACTGATGCAAATGGTATTTAAAAATGTAATATTGTATCTACTCTAAAACTCCAACTCAGAACTAATAAAATAAATATATCATAAAAAATATGGTATGATAATTTGAAACAGTAAATTAAACTACTGCATTCACACTATATTTTTTAGAAATATAATAATATACAATTAATAATATTGTAAATGTTAATATAAACGCTATTAATTATGAAGACAATATTTACTATAAATTTTAAAACAAACACTCGCCCGAACGAACGGATCAAACTCTAATTTATTTTTATAAAATGAGTCTTCGTACGACATCGCACTGGTTTCTTACCTAGTTTTTCTAATAATGCTCAAGTAATTAAAACATGTGTAATTTGCTAGCCCAAATAACTTCAAGCCCAAACAGCTAGAAGAGACATCAAACCAGCACCAAGAATAAGAGAAAAGCTACAAGCTAACTGTATCTTCATGCTACTCTGAGCTTTGTGGTTCATGAATATTGGAGCTACCAAATCAACAAGCGCCATGTAAATCAAGACTCCAGCGGCTGCAGCGTTAAGAAAACCAGACACTTTTAGTGCCATTGGGCTATTCTCATTGTATATCTCAGCGACTCCAATACCAATTCCAATCCCTGCTGGTGCCGTGAGTGCAAAGAACAACACCATAATCCAAATTTTCTTAACTTTAAATTTGGCCTACACAAAAACACGAATAAGTTTAGGTGTTAATTTAATCATCAGTCAGTTTATAGAATTATAAATAGAAGAGATATAAAGATTTTAAGATTACCTCAGAGATGCAACCACCAAGACCAAAACCTTCAAACAGTTGATGGAAAGTTATTGCAGCCAAGAGAGGCTTTATTGTGCTTACACTCGGAGACACTCCTAGAGATATTCCTATTATCACTGAGTGAACCACAATACCCACTTCCAGTATCTAGCCCCATGAGAAAATAAAAGAACATCTGATCAAATACTAATTAGCAAGTGTGTCTTATCTAAAGAAAACTTTGAATTTATAGCAAAATGGTTTTATTCATAATCAATAGTTTCTTTTAAATCTTAACAAAAAAAAAAATATATGCAGAGACAGCCATAGTTAAATAATTTTTTTTACAGATCTGAGGATCTATGTTTATGTAATTTTTTTCTTTTTTAAAAAAATTGGGATCATAAACAAATTATGCTTCTCTTGATTATGCATGGGCTCGGATTTTGGCAATTAGGGTTTTGCGATTTTACTTACTTGAGTTACAATCTTTTTCCTCAGATCATCTTGTGGGACAAGAAGAGAGCCATGAGAATGTCCTTGTGAGGCATGAGTATGAGCCGAGCCAATATGAGAATTCTCCTCACTATCTCCACCAGTACTCACCGGCAAGGTCTTAGCCTCATTCTCCAACCGAGACCTATTCAAATACCCTGAAGCAAAAGACTCAATCAACATGGTCAGAATCGCCGCAGCCATGGCAACTAAACCCGTCATGGGAAAATCTCCCCATGGTGACTCTTCTCCGATGCATGGACTCGTGAGACTCTCCGTGGCATCTGGAAGAATATGGACGAAACCAGTGGCTAAGATTACTCCGGCGGCGAATGCCTTGACGAACATAAAGAAGTTGCTCTCTGACTTGAGGCCGAAGATAGGTAAACAGACTCCTAACACTCCGGCTACTAAGATGGAGAAGAAGGCTCCGATCTTGTACTTAAGAACCGTTGCCTTCTCCCCAGCAGAGGCTCCTCCCTTGGAGCCACCACATTCGTTTACTTCCTCCGTGGCTGAGACTAGAAGCGGTAGAATAACCAAAAGGAAAACGAAAGCTGAAATTAGGGTTTTATGGAAGCGACTCATCTTTGGCTTTTGAGTAACGTTAGGGTTTTTTTCTTTCTCTCTTCTTTTGTGTGATTTGTAACAGTGAACAACTCACGCGGCTTATTTATATTGTTGACAGAGGTTACTCAGGATCTTGAATTTTTGTTTGATATGGTTATAAATGTTAGGCCCTAAAGATGGGAAGTTGTGTAATATTGAAGAGACTATGTCGACATGAACAGTAATTATGTGGTTGTTAAATTTATATTGTAAAATTTTTGTGTTGAGTTTAGAAGCTGTTTATTGGAGATGACGACATACTTAGTCTATGTGTGTCGTTATTAGTTACTAGTCAAAACGAAAAAAAAAAGACGGGAAATTTAGGCAGTTTTATATTTAATGCAAAATATTTTTAATAGCATATTTGCGAAAAGACATGGACAAATTTTCTTAGGTTTTTTGGTTAAACCCTTCTCTAGGTTGTCGCATGAGAGACAATCATGCATGAAGCTTAGATATCCCTTAATGGGTCTTAATGGGACGTTTCAAATTTTAGTTATAATCTGATTCGAATCGAATTCGGAAGGAACCGTGAAACTGATCCGATAATTAATAAAATTTTAATGGATCTGAAATTCGAATCAATCGAACCAAAACCGACAAAATTTTTAAATACCCAAATATATGATATATTTAAGAAATCAACATATGTATTCGTTATTTTACAATCAATAAAGATTATAATATTACAAAATATTAAAACCAAACAAACATTAATATAAAAACCTCATAAAAACCTCATGATACGTCGGATATCATTTAGTATATACATAAAGTTTGAACACAACTTCAATTGTCCGGAAGTCGCACTACTCTTAAAAATTTGATACAATGGCGATTAAAGAGATCAGCGCATTCTGCCAAAATTATTATGATTCACATATGTACAATTAACATTGATGATCGTTGTCAAAAAAAAAAAAAAAAAAACATTGATGATCAATATAATACTTTGTCAAAATAATGTATTTCAATTAATTTCATCCTTTCGACTATCGTTTATAAGCATAAATTCGTCTTCTCATATATAATTCGTCTTCTTTATATATAACCAATTCAGCTAATAATCATTAATCAGTTTAGTCTTTGGTTACGATGATTCTGCTTCTGCAACTAGAAGAATAATTTAAAAGGGAATAGCAAAGGCTTAAATGTTTTTTATTTTTGGTCAAACGAAACACTTAATTCTGTCAGTTTGTACAATCCTACCTTGGCGTTTCGATATTGCATTAGTCAGCGACTTATTAATTTGTTAAAATTTCCACTTAAACCCACAAAGTATTTACCAATATCATTTACACCTAAAACATGTCCAAATGGACATTCAACACCTCAAAATATGAATAAGCAAACTCACTGAATACTCTGCTTTTGCTCTGTTTCTTTCAAATATATGTAATTGTTTCAGAATTCTTTTAGTATATACATAAATACATACTAATTACAAAAGAAAAAGTATGCTTCAAACAAAATTTATAGGAAAACAAAAATAACTCTTTGTATCTTACACTTTTCTTGAGAAGTAAAAAGGTGCTATCCTTAGAACAAGACCCGGGAAGACATCATCCGGGTCATGGATATGCGGGTTTCGCTCAACAATAAACGGGTCGCCACATTTGTCACCGATGGTATGAAGCGTTTCACCTTCTCCTACAACGTAAATCTCCTCACAAGGTTTCTCTGAGAATTGAGACCCTCTGATCGAGCTAGAAGCGTTGTTCTCACGAACAGATAACAAAAGTATTAATGACAACAACACAACAGCAGAACACCAAGCACTCATGTCTGAAGATGCTGTTCTTGAACCTCTCATGTCTTTTTACTATAAAACTCTTCGTTTTGGGAATGAATATTAAATTAGATGTATCTTTAATTTGCGCTGGAGTGGGTGTATTTATATTGGTAAGAGAGGAGAGGGTAATATAGTCTTTTAGTTAAGAGGATTATGTGTTGTGTTGTGTTGGTTGGGTTAGAGACTTGGTCTCTTGTGGTGCAGGCCAACGGTCGTGACTCACTAAATCAGACGTTACTTTTTATCCACTTTCTTAACTATTCTCTGAGTCATTATATATGAGTTTATTTTGTTTTATTTTTTAAGTATATAGTATTATAAATTTGTGTCTATCAACTTCTCTTGTGCCCCTATTTTTTTTAGAGATAATCCCCTATGGGCTCGTGTGATCTTTTATACTCATATTTCATAATTTTTTTTTATCAAAATCTAAACCCCCAAAATTAAATCCTCCCCGGTGTTCAAAACTAAACAAAAACTCCCCAATGGATGAGTGAACCCATGGACAAATATTTAAATTCTATAACTTTCAAATTTGAAAAAAAAAATTTAAAATCGTTTTTAAATTATATTTTGATGATTTTCGTGAAAATATACACGCTTCAAGTTTAATTTTATGATTTTTCGTTTGACATATAAAATTAAAAAAAAATATATGTCCTAAAAAGATTAGAGAATGAGATTTAGGAGTATGAGTGGAGATGTCTCGTGTCTATATCAGCCAACACTGTTGGTGAAAACATTGAATATATTATATATATGTTATTGCTAAAAATGAAACGTATAAATAAAAAAGGACAGATGGCGATTTATAGCTGAAGTTTAGGATCGTATTAGCAAGGGAATATGGAGAATTGGATGTTTTAAGACTTGAGAGAAACGTAGCCTTCCAAAGTAGCGTAGCCGCCATTGAATGTCACATAAGTTATAGTACTATTACTTCCACAAAAGCCAACGTTCCAACAACCTTTTGATTGCTTAATCAACCTCAAGATAGTATGCTAGTGGTAGGACGATGTCCAGCTGAGAGAGCTTCGGCCTCAATACTCTGGCTTCGAATCCCCACAGCTGCAAACATTTGTGCGGGCCACGAGGGTATTTACATGGGCTGCTCTCGCCCTCCAGACCACTTCGCGTAACCAGGGGCCCTTAAGTGGAGGCTTAAAAATCCTGTAATGGCATGGGCTTAGGCCCGGTGG